GCCACTAGTGTTAAATAGGGTTTATTTGGAGATGACTGTCATGGTTTTGGCAGCTAGTTCACAAGGGTAAATGTGACCTGCTGCCATTCCTTTGCAGTTTACAAAGAGATGCTAAGGAATCTTGGTTCTGGCATGGGCATCTTGGAAAAAGAGTTTTACTGTAATTTTAACCGTATTACTTTGAAGCAGAGGAAGCAAATCCTGCAAATGCTTAACACTATGCCGGTTAGCATAAGTGTTTACAGGATCTGTGTTAGTGGGGTCTATATTAGTCACTATGTAATGTTGTAAAATACAAGGTAGTTAATTCTACATACACATGCAAGAGTCAACACCAGGCTTATTTTGTCTAACTTCATAGACTGGTCAAACAGAGCAGTCACAGATGCAAATATTTTTATTCATAGCAAGCTATGCAAAACAGTAGTTCTGTGTTGCTATGCTGCTGTCATCAGATGTGAATAGGGAGTTTCCTCTTCTATCTTATTCGTTCCACCAAATACAACTTCCACATAACCCTAAATTATGCTACTTCAGTTGTTTTCATGGGCACAGGCTACACTGGACCACCCAAATGTTTTGATTTGATTTGAAGAGAAGATAACCAGCCAAAGAGCTGCTTAAACCTGATCTGCCACTTGTGGTCTCTGACACACGGAACATCAAAACTGAAAGTTGATGGTGGCAGTATTTGTTATAACACATGAATATATGTTATGGATCAGGTATGACTTTACCAGGGAGCATGATAAGAAGGTTGTCAAATCTCATTATGACTGCCCATCATTATGATTACTCAATGTCACATTAGAGAGGAATAAGCTGTAACATTCAACTTAATGCACATTGCCTTCATTGTGTACTTTCTCTTGGACATGTGAAGTAATATCTCAGTTTAAAAACAGGAAAACAAAAAAACCCCAAGTTTGTATTAAGGGAGAACAAAGTTTCTCTGGAGGACAGCAATAACAAATGATAGAAAGTTATAAGGAAGTTGAAAACTAGTCAAAAATTCCATAATTGACAAATAATAACTGGGTGGATATGGAGACAGACCATAATCTTGCCTATTTTCTACATACTCAAAGAAGAGTAATAGTCACCTCTCCACATACAAATTATATATCTTCATTTATTTTCTTGTGTCTATTCCTTTACACAGTGTATTGGTAATACAAATGAGAGAGGTGTTTGTCCCTAGTTATTCAGCATGTAACAACCGTATTAACATCATATGTTAAGAAACATATTAACATAATGGAAAATCGCACTGTTTCAAAAAGATAGTTGTAAAAATAAAGATTTTTAAGTTTTCATAATGCTATCCTGTGTTCCTAGAGATGAACTTCCTGATGTCTAAATAGTTTTAGCCTACAAAACCAGCTTCTAGAGGAACTCCAATACCCTGTGATGTTAGTAGACTGAGTAGCCCAATACAAAGATGCTGTGCTTAGTTCATTTAGGTTAATCAAGCTTACAGTCTTTACAAAGTAGGGTTAACTGAGATCATATACTAAGCAACTTTCCAGCCATGAGAAGACAGATGCCCTTAGAAGTCATTAAGTGCTGAACCAGCTATATTACTCAGTGAATATATCCTTCACGACTCCCACAATATCAGTAAAAAAAGGACAACGGCTTGTTCCCTTTTTTGTTTGTTGTTTGGGGTTTTTTTTGTTCAAGCGATGAAGTTAACAAGAACCAGAACTACATGGGCCTTATCAAAGATAATTTTTTAGCTGTATAGCCACTATAGGCCACCTAGAAAGGGCAGCACAGAGATGTTCATTGAAGACCACAGACATAGCAGATATTCTTTTGCTCTCTTCCTTTCTATTGCTACTGCTTCAAATAAAAACTGATGCTGTTTCAGGAAAGAGATTGTGTTCAGGATATCCTATTGTTCTTGAATGAGTATTTTTCTTTGCAAGACCGTATGCAGGTGACATAAGGTAGAGAAACCAAGGCCTGCTCTAACCCAGGGGTCCAAAAGTGGAATCCCTCATACAGGAGCTGCAGCACAGAGGACTCTTTTGAGTTATCTTTGCAGTCAGCCCTCTGAGCGGGAGATGAGACTCATCTTACGACCTGGTTCAGATCACATGGCAAGAGTGAGATACGTATTAGAGAATATGTCTCAACTTCCAATAACACTATATGACAAAGATCCAATTGTTATAGTAGCACGGAAACAAAAAACCCCAAACATGCATGTTCAGCATAAACCACTAGAAATGACTAGTTCAAAGTCCACTGTGTTACATACGAAAAATACAGCATGGTATGATTAAGACTATTCTGAGTTTAATGAACCTATAGACACACATTTTTCCCAGGACTAAAATCAGAAGTTGTTCTCATAACAGCTCAACACACTATTTTAATCAACGTACAAGGCCGGCTGTACCCTTCACATGTGCCTGACCAGCACGCTCTGTGAAATTCACAGCAAGATAACAAAGACAGCAGCTTCAGCATGTTTTAATAGGAGTTAACTAACAGGAGAAAAAAACAGCCAAGTGAGAAAAAGAAAAGGAAGTAAAAGCTGCATGTCTTGGGCAGGGAAGAAAAAGGATAATGCAGAGTCCCTTCCAGTTTCTCAGGAGATTCTGGAGGGAAAAAACACTTTCCCCTTTTGATTAGACAGCTTGTGTGTTTGGCAGTGGGGGGAGGGGCGGCAGGAGTGACTACGAACATACACATATACAGAGAGAGAAGTGATGGGATTGCATTTTTTGTAATTTTCAAAATCAATTAATTTTTCTCATAAAAGAACTGATCACCAAATAATTTCCTCAGAACTTTCCAGTTCATTTACAAAAAGATTTTTCCTCTTCAGAAGGAAAACCATGACAAAAAGTTTTTCTTGATCAGCTCTCTATGACATCATTTATTACTTTGTATATTATTTAAGAGCGCACGTCATCACTTGGAAGGGATCTGAACCAGAATTTGAATCCAGCTGGACTTCGGGTAAGTAATGAGTTGAATAATAAAATCCAAATCTCCTGCTAGACTTTTCAGGTTCTGATGAAATTCAGAACTGAAAGAAGCTTCCAAAAACAGCTGTTCTCATGGGGTTTATGCAATTTGATTATAAAAATCATTGCAGTAAGATGGTCATGTGTTAGCAGTATTGAACCTTAACCCCAATGCTTAGCATAAAAGAATCAGGATCCGAGATCACTTTTTTCTGTTCAGTGCAAGGATGGCTCAGTCAGGCTGTGCAGTGAAATACAACCCATAGCCACCTGCAAACTGAGCAAGGAAAACGTTAAGAGTCAAAAGGCCTTTCTATTTCTTTCTATTCCTGCCAATGATTTAACATGCGTACACTATGCCAAGTCAGCTAGACTCAAATTTTCAGATGCAATCTGCAATTTGGTCCACACTTTGGAAGTGTTGACTGGTTGCACTGAAAGCAATATGAGCTGTAAGTTCTCAGCACCTCTGAAAAGAAGCCCTAAGTTTCTTAAATTTGGTTTCAAAAACAATAGAGCACCTAAAACTAGAACCCAGCAGGGACTTCCTTTCAACGGATATCAATATTCATGGCTTTCAAAGAGGTCCAAAGGGATAGCACAGAGCTCAGTGCATCAACATGGGTTTTGGAAGACCCGTGCTCAATTGACCGACTGGCTGCAGTCAAGTAACCTAACCACAGCTCCCAGCTGATACGACCATAGCACTTTCCAACATCATGCACATGTGGTGAGAATAAATACATTAAAGCCTGAGACGTTCTCCCGTTGCAGCATAGGAGCTGTTCATTTTGTAGGTGGAATGAAGAAAATGACACAAAGCTTGCTTGTGGCTGGGTGTGCTGGTTTTGGCTGGGGTAGACTTAAATTTCTTCATAGTAGCTAGTGTGGGGCTATGTTTTGGATTTGTGCTGAAAACAGTGTTGATAACACAGGGATGTTTTCGTCATTGCTGAGCAGTGCTTACACAGAATCAAGGCCTTCTCTGCTTCTCACACCACCCCACCAGTGAGTAGGCTGGGGGTGCACAAGAAGCTGGGAGGGGACACAGCTGCGACAGCTGATCCTAACTGACCAAAGGGATATTCCGCACCATATGTCATCATGCTCAGCATATAAAGCTGGGGGAAGAAGAAGGAAGTGGCGGGGGATGTTTGGAGTGATGGTGTTTGTCTTCCTAGGTAACCGTTACGTGTGATGGAGCCCTGCTTTCCTGGAGATGGCTGAACACCTGCCTGCCAATGGAAAGTAGTGAATGAATTCCTTGTTTTGCTTTGCTTGCGTGCATGGCTTTTGCTTTACCTATGAAGCTGTCTTTATCTCAACCCATGAGTTTTCTCACTTTTATGCTTCCGATTCTCTCCCCCACCCTGCTGCAGGGGGAGTGAGCGGCTGTGTGGTGCTTAGTTGCCAGCTGGGGTTAAACCACATCACTGGGAAGAAAGCTGAGAGTCACACTGAAAATCACTGAGTTATTCTGAGGAAATATGAAATGTCTTAACAGCACTTTGTATTCCAACAAATTACTTGAGAGCCTTTCTCATTTTAACAATATTAAAATGTAAACACATTTTTTTTGTAAGAAAAGTATGTTCACTGCAAACCATAAGAACATTTAGATAAAGAAATAAGTTTTCTACAGAAGTAAGACTGAAATTGCTACTCAATACTGCATTAAACAATAACAACCACGTATTTCCCAGGCAGTAAGAACCAAGCAATACAGAAACACACCCTCCTGTCTTCTTCTTGGCTTCATGCCATATTTTAGGCATGTATGAAAATAGCTTGTACAACATATTTCTGCAGACCCCTAATTGGGTGTTGCCACAGCAGCAGCATCTCACCAGCAGGGAGAGCAGGCAGCCATGCTCTGGGCACCCGGTCACCGCCGGGCTGCCCTGCCAGCACAGCCCAGCCATGGTTACATCCTGCATGTAGCCACCTCGGACACCAAAGGCACCATTACTCATCAGGGCACCTGGCACTGTGCATGAGGAGCAAGTCTCCCCCTCTTACCTCAGGGTCTTTCTCTATCTCCAGCCCCGCTTCCACCAGGTTACGTTCGTATTCCTCCCGCTGCAGCCGCTTCTCCTCCTCCAGGGTGTCCAGTGGGCCGAGCTCGATCACCTCCGCCCCTGGTGGCCCCGGACACTCCTGGGGGGCATGCTGGCCACCATCCTGCTGCTGTGGCTCAGCACGGCCCTTCCCGGTCCCTCCATTCAAAACCAGGGCCAAGGAGGCAAATCTGCGCATTGGCTCCGGTGAGCCTGCACCAGGCGGGTGCCGAGTGAGGTGTTTTCGGTAGTGGTAGGCTAACACGTAGTCGACCTTTCTCTTGCTATCCCTGAAATGCATGCCACTCGGGGATGCCTTGTCCATGACCCCTCCTTGCGTCCCGTCCAGGTAGTTGTTTATAACCTGGGAGAGAAACACAAAAATGTCACAGACAAGAAAGCCAAAAAGTCCAAGAAGAAGCCAGGCCTGGGGTCTATCTCCACACAAGCACGTAAAGCTGCGCAGAGTCAAAATTGGAGGTCAGCCAGGGGTAGGTATGACCGACAAACGCGCACTCTGCAGACCAGATTAAGTCACGCTGACCTCCTCCGACCGTAAACAAATGAGAGTGGCTAAAGATAGCAATGTTATCCCAACGCATGGGATACCTACCTGATGGGTGGGTACAGAGGCACACACCAACGCTGTCTGTCTGTCCTGCACGTACACAGACCGTACAGGAGAAGACACCCATAGTGTGAAATGGGATTGAGGAGTGGGAATAAGGATCACATTATAGACTGGGATATAAGAAAAGATGTGCTGTGGAGGAAAGCTGGGCAGGGGAGGGAAGCAAAAAACTACGTGTGGGAAGAAAGGGAAGAAACTGATCTGAGCCAGAACAGAAGAAGGATCCTCAGTGTAGTACAAAGGCAAGAAGGGTAGGGTTGGACAGAAATGCTTTGGAAAATACCAGGGATTAGAGAGGATATGCCCCATGGATGGCTAACAATGCTAGCTAACCTGTATTTTAACATATTATGAAAAGACTATGTGACTGACCAGTAATGCTGCAAAAGGAAATCAATGACTAGAATCATTCAAATCTCCTATGTTGCATTCAGTCATCCCCTCAGACCATCCTTGCCTCCTTGTCTCCAGTCTCTGAACCCCTCCGGGGTGAAGCTGCCCCAGTACTAACCCCCGCCATTGCACTCCAGCCTGGATTGCAATTCTGTAGCACCCGTGTTGAACTCTGATACCAAATGTAAGGCATTCACTTTCACTTCTCATTCACTAAGATAGCCCATATGTTTTCCACAACTGTTAATAACCACCATTTTTAGCTCAATGCTGTAGCTTAAAACCCTTCACAGAGCTCTCTACAGTGTTATTCATTAGACTGACACCAGCCCTCCAGTGACTGGGGAATGACATACAAGCAAACAAATAGGGTCAACCTGATTCAAAGCAATGAGCCCATAACCTAATTCCAGACATTTATGGTTCCCATAGGTGGCTATACAAGCAAAATCTTGACAGGTACCAGTTACAGATTTCTTTCTCTCCCTACCTCCCCTTCCATTACATGCTCTGGTAGTCCTGAATGCAAAGTTAACCAAGCATGCTGTATGGCAATTTTTTTGTTTGTTAACAAAACACAAATTTTTGAAGGTATTATATAAATGTGCATATTATTATACACCCCAACATCTCCCAAATTCTTGTTTTTCATTGCTTTGCTTCACTTAGTTTCCCACAAAGTAGCTTTCACTCACCTTATCACTAAATAAATCTTGGTTTTATATGCATACTACATCCTTCATTCTTTCACGAAATTATCACCAAATAATTTGTTCTGCACATTTCACTTATCACACACTTTACGTGTAAAGTGCATATATAGTCCCTTTAGGCATATCTAAACTTACACTCAGCACTACATTCTGGCACAATATAAAACTGCTTGGGAGACAGCATTTTATTGCAATTCCCCATTTCCTAGTTAGATAATTTTCATGTAATACTCACAGGCAGTCCATGCAAACCTCCTGGATCCATCTCTGCCACAGTGAAGAAAAACCCGTTGCCAATGTCTAGTCTCCCTTCCAGAGAGTTTCACACTATACAGCGCAGAAGTAATGATGTCACCACCGCCAGGTCACTGGCACAATGCAAATGCATTAGCTGACTCTAGAGAAGATGAGCTCTAAGCATCCTCTCCTCCCTTACTGGAAAGTGTGGGCAGAAATGAGAAGCACAAACAAAATGCGGGAGAGGGAACAAAGAGGTTGAAGAACATGTAAAAGTCACTAAGAGGTTTTCCTGTTTATTACCTGTGTGTAGCCAGCTGCCACATCCCAGCCACCTGAGAGAGCACCATAGCAACATTTGATGTTGCTGGAGTTACACAGAATAAAAGGATGAGGAGATAAAACAATGTCTCTCTCTCCCTTCCTCTCTGTTGACTCTTTTCCTCGCTCTTGGCAGCAAAGTCGCAACCCCATTATTATGGGTGTCTACTGCACAGAAAACAAACCAAAATTCCCACAGATTTCAGTAAGGACATTTTCTGGCCCTAAATCTGCACTGCATTCCTCACCATGTGACATTCAGGCACAGGAAGACCTTATTAGGAACATATTTGTGTTGCAAATTTGCAAAACATCACTGAAGGAACTATCAAGATCTTTCTCTCCTCCCTTCTCACAACCATTGTAAAAGTCAGAATTAGTGATTTAAATTACCATCTTCAGTCCCACATTCATTGCGTCTTGACATTTCCAAGACAAGTAGCCAGTGCACCAAGCAATAAGAAAATGAGAAGCTAGGATCGACATTTCATGACAATTTTATTCTAGTCCTCTAATAGCCAATATATCCCTACAAACATATCCCAAGAGGTCTCTCCACTAACAACAGCTCTGCTCTGAAGACCACAGCTCTGATCTGAAGACCACACTACACTTCCACCTTCCAATCCAGCCCACACTAACACCTGGGCACCCAGGGTTTGCACAGGGGTAGCCATTTTAGTCATCAACCTGCAGATGTTTTCCTACACTAGGGGTAATAGCAACACCCCTATTCCTACTCTGAAGGATTTTGTCTAAAGTAAATAATTAAGAAAAGCTTGGTGAGACTACTAGAGTAGCAATAAGTTCTTGATGTACACTAAGAGAGCCTACTGAACTACCTAAGGCTGTAGTATCAGTTTACTTGTATCGTCACTTTTCACAGTACAGCATAGGTTTGCCTAACACACAGGAGGAGTGCACCATGCTCTGCTCACCCTGTTTCAAGCCTCTTCCTCATCTCAAAGGCATTAGAGGTAAGCCAATGAACATAAAATCCTACTTACAGAACTGCTGAAGTACTCCATACAGCTCGGTGCTTCAAAAGCTCCATTGATCCTGCTGCTGTGCAAGGAAATCCGGTTTTGAGGAACTGTGAGGTATTTGCTGTTGTATACTGAAAGATAGTCCCTTGCTGATTTTCCTGTCTTCTGTCTGTTCAGAGTTGGGTGTGAGGAGGCTAGAGGAAAGTCTGAGAATGAGAGATAATTATTGTTATATAAAGCAGGTCTTGTGCAGATAGTTTCCTAAAGGAATGGGAAATACTGTAATTAATAGACACTATTCAACTTCAGATGCTGCACTTCAGTAAATGGAGAGGGGTGCATAGAACTGCAGAGGAACAGCAGGTACTTTCCTGGGTGAACTGCTGGGGAAGGCGGAACAATGATACGACACTGCACTTAGCTCACACTACCCTGGCTGGTCAGTAGCATTTGTACTCCTGCACTTCAGTCACAAGGTTAGGAGCTGCACAGTCGCAGCTAGCTAAGCACCCCCCAGAACATGATCATGCTGTGTGTCTTAAGTGACTGCACCGTGGTTCTCTGGGTGCAGCGTTCGTGCCAGATGGAAGCCAAATCACCACAAACGAACTGAGTCACATTTGTTTATGCCTTACAACTAGGCCTGAAGTGGACTGTGTTTCAGTTCCAGTGTGATGTGACCAAATCTAGTGGGACCAGGTACAGATAGAAACTTCTGGCTAGTGGTCATTCTCCACTAAGAACTCTTAACTTTTGGACATGTAATGGTGTGAAATTCTCATAAAGTACATCTAAGTTTGTGCCTACGTGTTTTGGCTTGAGGGACTAATGTCTTGAACCCTTTAGTTTTAGGTGTGTTCCCCATCTTGTATTGACACATTACATGGTCACAATGTAGCATAATGGACTGAATGAAGGGGTGGGGACTTACACGCCAACCCCTGTTCATCACCACCACCATCAGATACCTGCCACAGCGCAGTGCACAGAAGTAGCAGGCTATGAGAAGAATGGTTGGTCACAAGTAGGAAATGCAGAAAGCTAAGCCGATACAGGCAGTAAAACAGTGAAAAAAAGAGATGATAAAAAGTAATGGGTACAGAAACTCTTTTGACATACAAATGTTTCATGCTCTTCCCCCCTTTAGTGGTGCCATAATTGAAATGGGGCTGATTGATCTTCACCCATAATTTCTTTAGGAAGCTTATTGGGGTGAAAAACCATGGCTTGGTCCTTCAAGCATTAGTGTTTTCTACCAGAGAGAAGACATAGGTGTAGCAGGCCCATCTGCCCGCGTAGTTACCATTAAAGAGACAAAAAGCACCATGCCTCTCCAGTCAGGACTTTTCTCTTCCCCAGGAAGAAGAAATAACTGGAACATTCATCAGCTCCCGTATATCCAGGGAGACACTACATCCATACCATCTCTTCTTGCCTTCTTACTCGGCAATCCTGCAGTTCTTTTTCGCCACCTTCACCTTCAGTCTAAGGAAACAAGAAGCTTCAACGGCATAGTATAGCTACTTTACAGTCTGGGAGACACTGCCTTATGAGATTTGCTGCACTGTGTTATGAGAAAGCAATTTCACCCTTCTCTGCCATAAGAAAGCTCTGGAAAATTTGAACAGTTTCCTCCGCACCTTCCTCATGGTGATGGAGACAGGGGAAGGCAGGAACAGCTGTGTCTCTTGCTTAGTGTTCATGTGATTGAAGAGTGTTTCTCCCGCATTGCTGAAACAGCCAACTGGTGGCAGAAATACCTTGCATTGCATCTCAGAAGACAGAGCATTGAAAGAGGTGCTTGTATGCAGGAAACCTATAGAGTTGTACATCTTCAAATAATTCAAGGCAAATCTAAAAGGATCCATTCTTACAGATGGTGATAGCAAAACTTTGTCTCTCTCTTCTTTTCTTTTTTTTTTTTTTCGGGGGGGTGTATTGCTAAAATCTGGAAGTCATTTTCACCCTTATTTAATGGAATCCCTTCTTTTTTTCTTTTTTTTCAACAGTAAGGCAGGCATTGTGTCCCACTGCTAATCTTCTATGCCCTCTACACAGGCTGAATCTACTTACGCACAATCGTGCTAAGAGAAGAGCCAGTAAAATACTAAAGAAAGAAATGTGCAGACCTTACCCCTAAATGTTATGATTATTCTTATGTTTCCTATCAATAATAAATTAAGGTTCTGCAGCACTTCAACAGTACAGTAGATTGACTCACTAAGCTTCCTTTTCTGATCTCTCAAGGAGACTCGCCCTTGGTTTACTTTAATGAAGCACATAATGATGCCACAAGGGAAACTCCAAGGAAAATAATTAATAAGTGAAGGTTTCATTCCCAAAGGCTACACAGAGCGTTTCTCCAGTATTTTCAGACTAAGCCTGGGATATCTCGCAAGACCTTTGCACAGTCAATTAAAGACCTTTTTTTCTTCCCTGTCTTTTTAACTGGGCCTAGGAAAAAAATCTGAAGTTCATTTATAATAGAATTATTTCATTTCCACTATGCTTCCCAGCCTCCAGAAACTGTGTAATGAACCTGAGGTTAACACTGGTAAGCAGGTGAGGCAGTCAGGGACTTCCAGTCAGAATAAGTTTTTTGATGGAAATGCAATTTCCATGTCTGAATTTGGAAGACTTCTGTTCTCCCAGAAGCTTTTCATCTTCCAAAATCAAACTGACAACCAAAATGTTTTGTTCTGAATGAGTTCCACATTTGACAGTGCTTGCCTGTGGTATTGCAGCGCCTCAGGGCCTTCTGCTTCAGATGCTGCCTGACCTCATTCTACCCTGTAAGCCTTTACGACATCTGGCCTTACATGTTCTCATTCTGTAAATATTCTAGAGGAATTAGTATCGATAGAAACAAGCTGTGTGTGTGTGTTTATGTATATGCATATATATATAAATTCTTATACGTGCACACATGCATAGCTTTGGTACATATATATATATCCCCAGAGAACAGCAATAGAATGAATCTTGAATTCAACTTGAAAAGCAAATGTTCAAGAACTACACTCATTCTAGAAAAATAGCCTGGGAGCCATCCCTCCAGTCAAAGGAGGGATCCCTTAAGTTGTAAATGACTTCCAAGGACAAGGTACATCCAGGACAGCGATCAGTGACCAGCTCTAGTTCCAGTGTCGATTCACAGCCAGTAATCATCTACTTGCTTGCTCAGTCTTTCTGCACTCCTTTGCTTCAGCTTTTTGTAAACTTAAGGGTTGGCTGCAGGTGCACCAATTGACCTCACCATTTGAGTTTCCAATTCCTTGTCTAAAGTGCAATCATGAAGAAGCTGCACATACTGCCAAAAGTGCAAGGACTGAGAGGGTGTATTAAAGGACCATACTGCTTGTGAAATATGCATTAAGGGAGTCTACGTAATTAGGAGCTCTGTATTAAATCCTAAGTAACAGCCAATTATCCGATCTGAGTGGTCCAGATGATAGATTATCATAGGCACAACCACTTGCAGAACACATTGCAAATGTTTTGGCCACCCAGGGCACAGACATTGGCCTGCTTTCATTTATCTTCCTCTTTTTCCAGTTAAGTATCAGAAATGGGTTGCATTTCTGAAAGACACCATAGTCAGAAGTATATCTGCACAGGCTCCTCTGCAAGGCTGTTCAAAACATCTGCAATTTAGGAGCATTGTTTGGCAAACTTGTTATTCCTTTTACCCTCCAAGTAGGTATGAAAAAGAACTACCTGAATTTACTGTTTCTATGTAGTTTCATTTAAATATATCTTCTTTAAAGTAGATATGTATGAATAAAAAGGATGTACCATGGTTATACATGTATTCTTTAGGTTCCCACTAAGCTAATGACTTCTCAGTTCTGAACATGCACATCTAGAGTTGCTGAATCAATACAGCCAGTCACACCTGTATAAGTATGCAAGTATATTCATCACACTGCAGTTTTCTTTTTTAAGCTGTCACCCCTTATCTCTTCAAAATACTGCTTATTATTAGCATTTCAATTAAAAGAGTTTTAGGGAATGCATGTTAATTAAATGAGTCTTGGTCAAGCTTAAAGGAAACAGGCCACCAAAGGAAACGTCTAGGAATATTTTTTTTTTTACATAGGCAATCCGTTCTTTATTCAATATTACTTGAAGAAAAAGGTCCAGTAGGTTTCATTAAAGACAATTTAGATTAGTGCAGTGTTCTCAAACTCCTTATTTGAATAAAAGGACAGAATTTGACCATTACATTTTCAATATCTGGTATTTCTTTCTTCAGGATGGTTTAAGAACTATTTAGATGTTTAGTCCCCTACTACTTAACTGCTTCTACTAAAATCAGTCCCATAACTAAACTCAGCATTAGACAGTTCTCTCTCTAAAGAGTATTTCTTCTCCTATCATATTTGAGAGGCTGGGAAGGAAAGGGGAAACAGTGTTATGTACAGCCAAATGTAAAGGGACACAACTGAGATACTGATTCCTACCCAAGAGATTCTCCTTGCTGAGTGTCCTGGAGGCACAGGATGTGGCATTCCAAACTGAATGCTGGAACGAGGTCCAGACAGGCAAATGCACCCAGACTGTCAAAGGCATTAGCCAGGACTTCTCATAGGTGGTTTTGCCTTTCCCATCTGCAGTCTGAGAGGTACTCTATGAGCACTCAAACCACAGGCTGCAAATTTGGGTCTCTTGGTGGCAACTCAGCTGTGGGGGAACAGGTTGGAAGTAGCAAACCTGAAAAATGGTGTTTTCTGCTTCTAGCTCCACTTCTTTCTACCTTTGATTGCACTCCCAGTTTCATTCCCCAGGAGGTCTGCTAGCCCAGAGCATATGGCTGGGACAATGTGATGAAAGTGGAAAGTAGACAGGGAATTGTGTAGGGCTGTGCTGCCTACCTTAAGCCTTAGCAGGGCTGCTCCATCTCTGATCCTGTCTTAACCCTTGTTACTTCCTCCAAGCCATACCTGTACTTCCATTTCCCAGAAGCTTCCTCTAAGTTCCTCCTCTCCATGGCAGGCTTCATACCCTCTAATCTGAAATTTGCTTTAATTTGTACCATGCTGCATTAGAGAGCATTAGAGGCAATCCAAAAAGCCTTGTCTGTCTGTCTTTAATTCTTATGATTCGTAAAAGGCACTAATGGTAGTCTTGAAGACACAGTGGAGAAAATCACACTGTGCTGTAGCTGTGTTGAGTTTGGTGGAGCTGTGCACAAGAAGTAATTCTGGCACAAGGTGAGCTTCTTCCCATATCACCATGTACTTCAAGGCTATAATGGTTCAGGAAGCTGTTAATATGTGCTCAACAGAGCAACTTGCCCATAACCCTCTGGCCCTTTGTGTGAATGCATATTCATTGATCCTTCAAAGCAAGAGTTAGTGGCACAAAGGATAATAATAATCCTCATACAGTCATTTTAGGGAAAAGGAGGCCTGTGGTCATCTGCTTCCTGGGGGAAGGTGAGCCTGGAGCAGAGCATGATGGAGCAGAGCAATGAGTGACCCCACTGTCAGGGAGCCCACATGCAGAGCAGCAAGTCCAGGTCAGGATCAGGGCTGGAGACCGTGATCAGGATTGGACACAGCTCACTGATCCCTCAGCAAGACAGCAGTGACAAGGTAGGTCTGAGGTCAAGCTGGGATGCAAAGCCGCTGGTTCTGGGTCAGGGCCAAACCGGCGATGGTCCGAGACCAGGCACAGATGTAGCTGCTGCTCAGCTGCGATGTAGTGCAGGCGGGGGCAAGTGGTAAAGCCTCAGCTTAAAAGCAGTTCCCAAGGGAAAGGAGGGCAGCTTACTTCCAGCTTTCTTCACAACAGCTCCGGTCAGCAAAGGAGTTGACCTTAGACTCATCCAGCTAAACTCTTTAATGTGACGAACGGAACTCCTAGATGGGGCAATGTGCTCTGGGCCCTGACAGCCTGTCCCTGAACTGCTGCCAGAAACAACAGCATTGCAGCACCTCAAATAGACAGGGGCAGGCAAGGGGTAGCATGGCTCCTTGCTGGCTTTGACTGGCCTGAATAGCTATGGCCACAGACACAAGTGTAAAAACCTGTGGTTGTGCTCCTTTGGTAGACCCTCATACACAGGAGCCCTCACCTCTGGCATTAGGAGCAGGAAGAATGTACCTGAGTTAACAGAGATGCTCACTCACCTCTGGCACACACCATGAGCCAGAGAGCCTCTTAAAGGGTGGAAGACTATGAACCTGAATGGCCAAGAATGAAGGAAACAGTAGAGCTGTGGAGATAGATGTGGGAACCACACGATGTAAAACACAAACCTGAGCCACCTTATGAATGGCTACCCTAACTGAAGACTTAATGGAGCTGTATCTATATAATATAACTGGGTGTATAACTTCACAGACTCCCCTCCTTTTTTTGTTTTGGTTTGTTTTTTAATCCTAGTCTAAATATAAACATTACAGAAAGTACATGATTTTTCCAACATAAAGTATATATCAGTATATAGATCCAATCTAACAGTGAAGGATCAGGGATAGAAAAAGGACACTGGAATAACTCAAGAAAGATCAGCAGTAGACATCATTAAATCTAATGGCTCTTTGCACACTGTGGTCTGTTATGCAAATAATTTTAGGAAGGGGACTGGACAGGAGAGCACAGAAATAGCAGGATTCAGTGAGCTGCGTGATAGTCCGGAGTT